AAAGTAACCAAAAAAGAATGGAAGTAGGTAGCTAAGGAACAGTAACGCAATTGCAAGTACTAGGAAGGCCTTCAGCATGACTCCTCAGCTAAATATATTTGCCTAGTTTACAGAGCCATGCAAAGCCTCAAAGAGGTACTTTGCTTCAGTTAGGGTTTTAATGAAGCACTCAAGAAAAATGCTCCTCCACTTCTAAGTGCTACCATGCCACTTGGTTCAATGCAAAATACCTTCTGTGCTGGTGTACCGTATGTGCAGAAACTAGTCTTCTTGAAGCAAAGTGGCTCTGCCTTGATGCACAATGCCTCATCAAAGTAGTGCGTACCCACTTCCCACACCCCTATTTACCCTTCCATTCAAGAGCTTGATCTATTTATTCCCCGCCTTTCTACTTAAGCTTTCCTTTCATGCTATATCCCTTCTCCATACAGTTCTCGCCCACATCTTGCCCTCTGCTAATAAATGCTGGGTTCTTGCCCTAAGTTGCCTGAGCATGTACCACTGAAGACAATGGAATTTGGCTTGGCATAATAAATCCAAGGATCATATTCCAAATTTAGTGAACAATCTTGCTTTATTGACCAGGGAGCAATAACCGGCAGTCTGAGCTCATTAAGTCAAAGGAAGCAGAGGGGAAAGTGCACAAATCAATCAAAGACATATTTGCCAAAGTGAGAATACAGACATGTACACTCTATGTAACAATGAGAGGTAAGGTTCACTTTCATCTATTATAAGATGGTCCCAGTACTGCTACACAAGCTTTATTTAGCAGGTTGCCAATTATGTTAGTGAAAAATTCCCTTTCCTGGGCACAGCAATGTTCTCTAATCAATAATTATCCCAATAGAAACAGCCCAAAATATAAGGCTACGAACACATACAGGTATGCTTAGCCTAAGACTGAGAACAGTGATCACCAGTGCTGTTTTCCTCTCACATAAACTCAGGGCCTGCCTTTATGTCAGAGCAGTTACTTCAGTCTCTAAAGTTTGCTTTTATATATTTCCACAAATACACACAAACCATGTGCATGTGTGCACATATGAATGAGAAAGAATATTTATATAGTGATATATAAGCATGTGGGTTTGTTTCTTACATGGTGTAGGGTATATGGATTGTTACAATGGGTAAGCCTCGTATAGAGTATTGGCACAATCTAGTTAAAGTTGAAGTCTTTTGTTTCATTGAATTCAGTGGGAGAATTGAGTAATTAAGACTTATTCTTCAATTTTCCATTGAAATCA